TGGAAGGAAGAATTCAAGAAAAGAGGAGTACAGAATCAGAGCAAACATCCAGCAACAAAGAGCCGGAAGAATGCGCCACCCAACCACTACCACCAATCAACCCATGTGACGGTAATACTACACCTCCAACGTACGATCAAGATATGATTATTGCATGACTACCGTCAGCAGTACATAAGCTTGCTTATCCAGACCAAGCAGTTGTGGGAACCAATGCAAGAAGGTCAGTCAGACTGCTACCTGGTCACCCTACATGAGAAATGTTCCATCCGGTAGCAGGACAGGCACTCCTCGCAGTTACAGAGGTGCCTACTACATTGCAAGAAGCACTTGCTAGTAGGGATGCTGCTGCAAGGAAGTGGGCTTGGGAAAGTGAGTTAGAATCTCTGAGGAAGAATAGCACCTTGGCGGTGGAAAGGGCACTACCAGATAGAAACATTGTGGGCTGTCAATGGCCATTTAGAAGCAAAGAGGATGGACGTTTTAAGGTACACCTTGTGGCCAAAAGATACTTGTAGGAGCCGGGGATCGACTTCCAGGAAACGTTTGCTCCCGTCACAAAGTTCACCACTCTATGCGTTCTCCTTGCCTTGGTAGTAGAAAATGATTGGGAATTGCATAGCATGGCCGTCAAGACAGCATTCTTGAATGGGGTGCTTGAGGATGAAATATATAGGGAATATCTGGAGGGGGTTACAGAAGAGGGGGAACCAGGTATGACTTGCAAGCTAGTTAAGGCAATCTATGGACTACGACAATCTCCGCGTGCTTGGTACAAGAAAATTCATGACTTCTTCACTGAGTACGAACATATCCGCAGTACTCAACCGCAGTACTCAAGATTACAGTTTATATATCAACTACAAATGGAAGCTACTGGTGTTAATCTATGTTGATGATCTGGTCCTAGCTGCAGCAAGAGTAATGGATATTACTTGGATCAAAGCCGCTTTGACGAAAGCCTTCGAAATGACCGACTTAGGTATACTACAAACCTTCCTTGGACTCGAGATCTCTCGGAAGCGAGGTCACCGGATACTTACCCTTCATCAAAGAAAGTATATCACCAAGATCCTTCACCACCGTAGCATGCAAGATGCGCACCCCAACTGGACACCACTCGATCCTGGTACACTATTGGGTTCCAATATACGACTCCTAATTGGCAAAGACAAAACCGAAAGCAAGCATGTAAGTCTGGAGCTTTACCGGTCTGCTGTTGGATCACTGATGTATGCCATGCTCGGCACCTGACCGGACACTGCATACTCTGTGGGTTTGATTAGTCAGTTTAACGGTCAACCTCTTTGGGAACACTGGATGGCAGTCAAAAGAATTTTTCGATACCTCGCTGCGACCAACAATCAACAAATACAGTACGGTACTAGTAACTCCAGTGGAGGATATTCGGATGCCGACTGGGGATCTGAATAGGATCTCAAGTCTGTCGGAGGATTTGTTATTCTCTTAAACGGTGGTGCAATATCTTGGACGAGCAGGAAGCAAACAACCGTTGCTTTGTCCACAACGGAGGCAGAGTACATGCTGATGACACAGGCAGCTAAGGAAATTGTTTGGCTCCGGGTACTATTGGAAGAGTTGGGAGCACTTAGTCACATTCACCAGATATCGTAACTTTACGGAGACAACCAGGAAGCTCTCGCATTAGCTCACAACCCGAACATCATGCACGAACGAAGCATATCGACATTCAGTACCACTTTATCCGAGAACTGGTTTGGGTAGAAAGGATATACCTACTATACTGTCCAAGTAGTGAGATGATCGTGGATATTATGACCAAATCACTACCGCGAGTTACACATGAGCAACATACCCAGGCGATGGGGATTAGGAAGCAAGATAGTTATGGAAGTCGTCGTAAGGGGGCATGTTGAGAATCACGAAGCTCCAATTCTCCAAAGTTATCGGAGTAGGTTACAAGTGACTAAGTGTAGCTAGGAAAAAAAAGGAAAGAAAACGCCCAGAGAAAGAAAGAAACAGATAAGGAAAAGCGTGGCCAGGATCTCGTCCGCTGCGGGCAGAGTTCCACTGAGGGAGGCGTTGCTGGGGTTGTCGCTGCCCTTGCCGGGGGAGATCGTTACAGCCGATGTGTCCCCCATCTGGCAATGCGGGTGCAGGGGTCCTTCGTAGGGAGGGCGGGCGGGCAATAAAGAACGCGAATAATAAAGAACCAAAGCTGTAGGAAGGATGGTGAATTGAGGGATTTGAGGAGACGCAGAACGGGTTCCTGTGACGGTGGTTCGTGGGACCGGGCGTCATTGAGCTATGACCCCGCGCTGGTCGAGCAATCGGCAATACCTTTCTCCGCCACCCTCTGAGACAGCCAAGTTTCCCGCTGGGCCATGGTTCCGTGAGCTTTGCCCAATTGGCCTTAGGTTGTACCAACCTGTCTTTCCATGGCTTGAAAGCTGAAGCAAGAGTTGTTTAGCAATGGTTTGGATATGCAATGGTGGGACAAGCTAAGGAATGGGTTAGCGTGTGAGTGAGGATGTGTGAGAACTAGCGATTAGTGAAAGGAGAAGTGTTCGGAAGGTTTCAGGAGTTAGTACTAGGGATATCGGAAGTAACAGGTTACGCTCCGGAGGTCTAGAGGACAACCAGGTGTCGCACTATAAGAGTTAGGAAACCGGAGAAGAAGCACGAAGGTATCAGGACTGTCTGGAACAGCTATGGCTTAGGGGAAATGTTTCCAGCAATGTTTGAAGGAATGAGTAAAGGGGACGGTGTGGCATCAAGACGGAAATGTGGTATGGAATTCTGCGAGGTTGACGGACAAGATAGATGTTTGCAAAGGAACAGCTTGTGTGTATATAGGACACCTCCGGCAACATAGATAGAACAAGGACCGCAGACACTCTCTACCGAACATAGCCTATTTTATTACTACTAACATAGCCTCCCTACCTTCCATCTAAATTATCCAGAAGAACAGGGGAGAAAGACGAAGAAAATGGCGTTCGATTGATAATTCATGATTTTTACTATTATTCAATAAGCCACCCACCCCGGCAGCCAATGTATTCGTAAGAACAAAGAAATTTAAATACGTGCACAAAGTCTTGAGAATAGAACAAGTTAACGGATCCGGAGCTTTCATAATTTCTCCTGCTTCTGTCCATAGAGGAGGCAGGAACAACACACTCTTGAGAGAGTGCTGAGGGTGCTACAAATTATAGATGTTTTCACCGCTTAGTATAATAGATCCTTTACAGATCAAATATCTAACTTACCAGCCATTGTATAAGCCACGACTGAAGACAGAAAACGAAAAGCTATGTCTAACGCCTCCTATCATACTACAGTACTCTTATGAGTGCTTGTACGATATTCTCTCTGCCTTTAGCAACTGAACGAGTGGAGGAGTTATTGACTATCTAACTACCGTATGATATTAGGTTGTGCTCTGCATCCCATCGTATTACGATATACAATGCCTTTCTAGGAAATATTATGCCCCATTAGGCACGCAAGTGTAAGAAAACACAGTATTCTCGAAAACGGTAATCAAAGCCATCATAGCTAGCTCTGGGGCCGAGGTTAAGGTGCTAGCATACCACAGAGCAACCTCTCGCCCGCCGTGGCTGCCAGTGGAGAAGAAGGCAGTAGGAGCACTCATGATTGCGATGTAGGGACAGCTGACAGGCTGCGAGATGAAGATGTTCGGGAAGGTAGCATTTTAAAACGGCACTGTGTTTCCTCTCCATAATTATCAGTGCTCCTGCTAAGTTCCTCTTTAGCTGGAATGGGTAGAGGGGAGCCTTCCTGAACAGTCCTGGTATGATTTTTGTTTTCGCTTGGGAACCAACCGCATTTAGGTATTAGGGAATACACTGTTTTCAAAAGTATTATGTCATACTCAGTATCTTCTTTATAGGCAATTTCAAACAGGGCCTCGGTAGTCGCTAACCCCGATCCCTTTCGTCAAAGAGCACAAAAGAATCGAAATCAACATAGCTGCTGCCTTCCAACTTACAGACCACGTAGGGAACAAAAATCCCATACAGGACCTATGGGTCGAGCCATAATCAAAATCGTGCCATCGTAACCTATTTTATTTACAACAAAAATGTCGTAAAAGTCGGAAAACATGTCATTTTGCTAGTGCGCCAAACAAGGCATTAATGTTTTATTTTCAAATAGCTCGCTTTTGGTATACTGGCATAGAAATATGCTGTTTTGAAAGAATATCACGCGTGACCTTCATCGGTATGTGTCTAACAGGACCTAAACTTCTCATTGAGAGAAAAAGGTCAAGCTCATTCTAAAAATTCCCGAGCTTACATGCATGCGAGATATGCAATACCGGCTGGAACCCAGCGCTAGTAGCCAATCTGGGGGGGGGGGTGAATAACAAAATAAGTGAGTTAAAGATCCCATACCTGGATATGCATAAAAAGCAAAAGTGCTCCAATGAACTAAATTAATTTTGTGGAGAGAACAGAAAAGAACAAAAAAAAACGCGAAGAGCAAGAAAACTCCGTTGACAAGTGAGCAATGATGCAACTGATCATACTACTCATACAATCAAAGTTCGGCATTCCGATCCAAATCCCAATATCCCCAAAACACCCCCGGACGTTGACATTCCCAGACCGTCAGATGTTGCGAAGGTGCTCTGGTGGTCGATATAAAGGCTGATGTGGTTGCGGTTTGGCTTGTAGTCATGACGGCGCTTGTGGTTGGTGGGCTTGGATCGAGGCAGTTGCCGAACCACCCGTAATGAGTGCATGGCATTATAGGCTTTGTTTTCGCAAATGTGGTGGGTGTCGTGACTGGAGCTGTTGTGGTGGTTGTGTCGAGACAGCCCCACGTTCCGCGTGTTTTGCAAGTGCTGGTGGAAGTGGTCTTCGGCACACTCGTGGTCGTGGTAGTTGTTGTCATATTCCCGTCGTTGAATTTCCAACGGAGACAGTCCTCACAATGATCATCAAAGATGCATTGAGGGACGTCATCATACTTCTCAATGATATCTTTAATCACGGTTTGGATTTGTGATACCCAAGACCCATCCTCGAACCGTGGTCAGTGACGACATCGTACACACACTCGAATCCACCATGGTATCGAGTCTCCAAAGCATACCCAGCGATCGAGCATCCAGCCATCGGCCCGTTACACGCTCCCATGTATATCGGATCCGCGGAATTCCCAAAGTGAAAAACAGCCACACCATTGGCATGCCGTGCGCTATCCTTCGGGGGCTTCGGCAACCCGATTCGTTTAGCCGGTAAGGCTTCGCCAACCGCCTCAAATGTAACCACCGGAAGTCCATATGTCTGACCGAGCAGTGAAGAAACGGATCCACCAAGTGAGTGACCGACAAGCCAGATATTAGCATCGGGGTACATTGTCGTCACATTTGTGTACAGATTCAGGGCTGCCCGATAGTAACGATTCTCGGCTAGGATGGAATCCTTAAGGCATACGGAATCGCACGTATATGCCGTTCCGGAAAAACAATCGCAAACAGTTTTTCACCAGTACGAAACCCTGGCGCAGCAGCACGAGAAAAAAAGGTTGTCGTTTATCTTGTCATTTGTGGTCGTTTCCGCCCCATCAAAAACAGCGGGGGATGTGCCCTTAAGCCCAATGATAACCGTGGTGTTGGCTTCATCCGCAAATATGTGTCCACGGAGCCCGTCCCCTTCCCACCCAAAATTACTTGTCGCATTATAAGGTTGCCCGATATCTAGCCAATCCTCCGTGCCCTCGGCCTCAATATACGCATCCGCTGCAATGTGAGCAAAATTCAACACTGTTGTTTTGTCTGTAATGTTGGGCATCGGAATGATTTCAGTAGTCCAGTCATCATCGGAGAATGTTCTGGGGTGGTGGGCTCGGTGGGCGTAAAGCATATCCTCAATCGTTTCTTTAGACCGGTCCACCAAACGTGAGATCGGCCGAGTTCTAGAAGACAGGCGATGACGAGGGCGGGGCCGGAGTTGCGGATCATTCTCGGTGGCAACCAGAGTGTCCGGATGGATGTCTAACCGTCGAAACTGGTAAGGATAGCTATAATAGATCAGTAAAACCGAACCCACACTTCCGAAGTGAGCATTTCTCACCGATCGGCTGCATGGTGAAGCACATGGCGTAAAGACTACAAGTATAAGTTTGTGAGTCAGAGATCCGGTGTTTCCAGGAGGCAAGGACACCTACAAACACAATATCAGACCGTACCTCTCCCACTCCAGGCCCTATGGGAGCTCCATCACCCACCAATACCGGTCCAGGTCTTAACACACCGCCAGGTTGTGTAGGTGCTGCGACGGCTGCCGCCCCGGGGAGAGAAACTGGGATAGCCGCTACGGTGGATAAGGACGAAAATGCGAGAAGCGATAACAATAATCTTGCTGTTTTATGGGCTGCATCGGGACACGGCCCTACAGGCTTGGGAGAAGCGGCCGTCGTGCAGACGGCAGTGAAAGTAGTGGACAACTTGGCAAACAGCGATAGATAAGGCAGCGACCTCGTCATCAACTATCCCCCAAAACCTTGGCGTAAGAGAAAAGCTTGTTGGGATCGAAGATGATCGGACAGGAAGCGATGTAGATGTGCTGTTCCCGAACCACACCAAGAGAAATTCTCTTAAAATCAAACAACGATATGTTGAAAAATAGAGGCGGTATAGACTGTGAGATTTAGTGTAGGAGAAGAGTGGCTGATTATTTCTTCCAAACGTTGGACGTGGTCCATATGTTATATACTACTCATTCAGGCCACCGTTTCCATTAGTCTGGGCTTGTCCAACTTTATTCATGTTCTCAATACACGTGTCCACATTATAGCCAACACCAAAACAAATGATGAGTCGTTCTGGATCAGAGCACAGGTGACTTAGAGTTGGTCCAAATAGCTCTAACCAGCGTAGAGTAATACCGCGTAGGTGCGACTAGGCTCCGCACTAACGATATAGGAAGTTGATTCCAACAATTCCCCTCCTCCTGATATCCATCAAAAAACTCGTATAAGAAAAGAACACAAAAATAAAAATAAATTAATAAATAAAAACAAATATATGGGACCGTGGCAGTCACAGTAAAACCTGTATCCACCCACTGGGAGGATTGAGTAGGAGAAAAGAAACTCCGGTATGGATGCAGAAACGGATAAATGTCAACCTCATTAAATTTTTAGGTATTTCTCAAAAAAAAATTTCCATTATACTGTTTCAAATATTTTCTCCTTGAGTTGAAGAAAACAAAGTGTATAGAGACTTTGGGGTGAAGCGTTGCGTATCTGTATATCGAATTATTGTACGATTTCAAGGTTAAATCCGGCTTTGGGAAGAGAGAGGAAATGTAGACAGAGAGGATCTCCAAAACAAAGGGACTTACGCGGAGGGAATGTGATACTATTAGTTCCTGTACAGTTACGTATGATACTCCAAAAATAATTTCCAGGGAACCAGGGGTTACCCGGCTAACGAAATGTGAGCGAAGACATCTTCAGGCGCTAGTTGTGGTGTTTCTTTCTTTCATGACAGGATTTGAAGCCCCGCATTCCGGTATGCATGCTACGGAATAACGTAAAGCACGGTGATGTGACACAGCACTATGATGTGACACTCACCTTGGCATCATGTGAGACCTGGTATTGTCCGAACATCAACCCCACTTCTGCGCATGAAAACAGCAAAATCGATAACACAACTATCAACCATGGGGAAAGTGACAGCGAGGAAGACTTCTGAATATGAAGAAAGACTCCAGAGAGCGATCAAGGCCACAAAGCGACTGCAAAACACAATTCCAGTGTCAGAGGCAGCAGAAGAATTCCAAGTAAACAAGCGAACCCTCTACTGATGAATGAAGGGCACTCACGGGAGCCGCATTGAGTCGCACGAGAATCAACAACGCCTCTCAAACTCGGAAGAGGTTGCCATTGTCCACTGGTATCAGTGCCAAGATGATAATGGCTTTCCACCATGGCTTGATATGGTGAAAGATATGCCAATTTTCTTGGAGCAGAAGTGGACAGGTGTGGAGTCATTACTAGTGGGGCAGAATTGGATCAATCGCTTTCTGACCCAGAATCAATCCTTAGCAGCAAAGCTAAGTACACAGCTAGAGCATCAGCGATTGTATGCAAAGGACCCTGCCCTTTTGCAAGATTATTTCACCAAGTTAGGCCACCTGATAAGAGTCCACAATTTGAAAGCCTGTCAAATTTTCAACATGGATGAAAAAGGCTTTGTGATAGGGCTGGCAACACAGGCAAAGGTGCTGTATCAAAGAGGTTGTAGGAACCCTCATGTGACTCATGATGGCAAGCGGGAACTTATTACAGTAATTGAGACTATGTGTGCGAGTGAAGCTGCACTTGCTCCATTTGTTATCAATAAGGGCAAAGGTCATTGCCTGGGCTAGTACCGCAATCTTACCGACAGGCAATGAGGATATCGCTTTAGCTACTCGCCTAAAGGTTGGACCGACAATCTCCTCACATTGAAGTGGGTGGAGGATTTGTTTGATCCTGAGTCAAGTAGTATAGCGGGTATTGGAGAAACTCGGCTCTTAATTTTTGATGGACATGGGTCCCATATTACCTTCCCGTTTATTCAGTTTTTTTGTTGAGCATAACATCCTTGACCTTTGCCTACCCACATATTCTACGCATTTATTACAGCCTCTCGACGTGGGGCTCCTTTCACCATACTAATATTTCTATGGACTGGCCATGGATAAACACTTTCGCTCTGGCCAGAGTTTGGAAAGAATCAAAATGGCTGTTTTTATTCCTTTTTTGACAGAGGTACGCGATCATACCATGAGGCCTACAACAATCCAAAGAGCCTTTAGTACAAGTGAGATCTGGCCTCTCAATCCCTATTGTGTATTACAAAAGGTTGTTCCAGAAAGGCTGAAGCAGCGAGATACGCTTGGACTTGTCAAGAACCCAAGAAATGCTCAGGATATCTGAAATAAGGTTAAGATGGGAAAGAGTATACTTGATCTTGGGCTTCTAACTTTAGAGGATAAAACACAGGTGGAAAGGGTGGGCATTAGGAATCAGGTGGTGGGACTTTTACATGATCTCAGACATTAGCTGGAAGTTGAGATCGCTGAAAAAGATCTCTATCTGGAGATCAACCAACGTCTTCAAAGTACAGCAAGCCTCTACAACACTACCGATAAACGACAGCTGTCCATTGCCTGGGTTCTATATGGAGCCGAGCTCATCCACCGTCGTGATGCACGTATTGAGAAGGACAATAAAAAAAAAAAGTTTCACCAACCTACCGAGCCAGACACAAAGTTTCTACCAAACTACCTCAGAAATCAAAAACCACACAGCCACAGCATTCCTCTGCTTTTATCCCAGATTGGCTGGTTCGAAATGTGGTTATTGCGAATACCCCTATGGTGATATTCATCGATTCTGAGATGGAAGAAAGTGAGGAAGAAATCTTGAGTAATAGCCATTGGAACTCTCCACTCAGAACTCAGCAAAGACATCCTTCGACCAGTCCATTCCGTGCTCAAAAGAGTACTAAACCTGACCTACCCTTACACATGTCCCTCTGCTCCCGGAGGTCATAGTATTTATATTTTTCTTCCTTGTACCTTCTCATAGTACTATGTTCTCCCTCCCCCCCGCCGCCCCAAAATTTTTTTTTTTGAAGTTCTAATTTTCTTCCCCTGGGCCTTTTTCTTTCATAGTTACATTCTCCTTTCATTTCTCATTCTAAATCTGGTCTTTTCTTCTCAATTGGACTTATATTTCTTGAGATACGAAGTAATTAAATCGGCTCATGCATCGGGACTACCGGTGAAACCCGTGTGTCAGTTCACGGACCTGTGTCATATCACGATGCCATACGTTATACAGGTGCTCACTCATGATTCATATCACAGTGTCGTGATTACCGAAGGTGAGATCCCATTCTTTGCTCGTGGAGACTAAATAATCATGACGAGACAACTTTATCGGTTTTAAAATTCGGCTAAGTCAACACTGAATTGGGGATAGCGGTGCAAGATATCAGACGAATTGTGAAATTGCTTCCCCACAATCCCAATGACCAACCTTGTCTAGCCAATCCAAATGGACTGATTTATTGAGCAATTCTACCAAGTTTGTTTGCTTCAGCCTTCACCGAACCTAAAGCTCATTGGATTAAATCAATAATCCGCTATCTTTGTTCATCTCAGCGCTTCCTCTCCTTTATAACTACAGACTTGACTTTTTGAGTCTTCCCCCTTTCCTACACTAAGCCGGTGATTTGGTTTCTTGACCTCATCATTAAGAATGCGGAATGCCTTGTTTCTCTCATGTCTCGCAGGGGAAAGAAATCTAGGGCCCCCGTTGGTATTTCTACTCCTACGGAGAGATCATCTGCTTCCGCACCACAGACTTCGGCGGGGGGGTCGGGTATCCATGAGCCACCACACGAGGTTGCTGTGAGGTTTGCCGACCTACCAGGGGATCATAATAGTCCTCTCTACTCCTTCAAAACATTTGAAGACCTAGGAGTGTAAGTATTAACATGTTTCGTTGCGGAATCATTTGCCGCGGTGATTTCACTTTGGAATTCATTCTTGTTTTCTGGCTCAGGGCTACTGGTCATATATATATTCCCGCGCCGTGCTGACAACTTGCATTATTTTATTGCAGTTCCAAGGAGCCTCTTGAGGGTATTTATTTCATGAACTTTAAGAAGCCGTCAAAGATCCAAGAGCCAGCACTTCCGCTCCTTTTATCAGGCTCCCCCTGAAATGGGATTGGTTAATCACAACCTGGGACTCGGAAAACCGCGGCATTCGTTTTGGAAACTTTGACTTGTGTTGACATGTCGGTAAGCAATGTTCAAGCTTTTGGTTTAGCTCTATCTAGGGAAGCTAGACAGATTCTGGGCGTTGTTCTAACCATGGGTCAATTTACCATCATAGCTCAGTTGGCTATCCCGGATATGGTCCTACGTGGTCAGGGGAACGATGCACATATTATTGTTAGGATACTTGGCATGGCCCTTGACTTGATTCGTGGGAAGCAATTGGCTGTAGAACATCTTAAGGGTGTTGTGCTCGATGAGACGGATAATATGCTTGATCTACGAGGCGTTGGAGAACAGTGTCTCCGTGTGAAACAGTTAGATCCCACTTTTTATGCATTATAACGACTAGCTGCTCATGGGGGGCTGATATCTTCATCTAGGAATATAGCCTCTAGCACCCAGATCGCCTTACTCCTCACATCATTTCTTGACTAGGTTGCTAAATACGCGAACCTATTTGCACAAAATGCGAATCATATATCATTAAATCATGAAGCGCTTACCCTGGACGGGATCAAGCAACTTTGTATGGACTGTGACAGCGAAGAGGACAAATAGCGGATATTGATTGACCTCTATCGTAGTTTGATGACCGAGTCTTCCGTTTTATTCGTGCACGTAAGCGACCAAGGATAGCCACATTTGGCAGTTGTGAAAGCTGATCTGTTGGGCTAGAAACGCGAAACAGCATATGAGATGCTGGGGCGAATGCAGTGAAACCAAGCGTCCAGTCCGTCCGTACTTTGTTGCGGACTGGAGGGACGGTAGTGAATGGGTGGATGCCCGAAACGGACGGGGGAGCCCTTCAGGTTTCTCAGGGGGCGGGATGTGCCAGGTTTCTACAGGTGACGGCAGATGACGGCCGGGACCTGTAGGTAATAGCGGGGGCCCGGCAGGTAATGACCGGGTCTACAGATAACAACCGGAAAATGCCATTTGTTCTAAGACTGCCGGGCCCGGGCGTCAACCTTTTGGACGGCTGTCTTTGTGAAGGAAGGGCGTAATGCCCTGCCATCTCCACCCACCGTGCGCGGGACGCCGGGGACTACAGCCCACCGGCCCCTGGAGGGCTCCCTTAGCAGCTGGGAACACTGGTCGAATGGAAGCGAATGGGCACAAATTTGCTACACTCCGCAGTGCAGGGGAAGGCCCGGATCGAGAAATGGTTCCCCATGCTTTCCATTCTGTAAGAGCAAAAGTCTTGATCACTACAGATGATTTGGCGCGTGGCATCGATATGGCAACTATCTCGATGGTAGTCAATTACCACTTCCCTAGCGGCAAGGCCGTCGGTTAGACATTATCAAGTATGTTCACTACATCGGACTCACTGGCCGATTCGGACGTGCGGGTGTGGCGTTTACCTTTGCTCATGACAAGCGGAGCCTGACATCGAGGCCATATCAACCCACTTTGGTGCCTGCATTACCAGGGTTCCGACCCATGACATTGAAGCATGTTTCTTCTAGATATCTGGAACTAGCTTCACGATACTAATTCATTGTTGATAGTAGGTTGAGACAATAAGCAATAGTGTTCTTGAGAATAAGAAAGTTGGTGGGGCGAAACGGTAGTGGAGAGGTATGTTTCTTCCACATTTATAGAACTAGATTCCAAATGACGAGGTATTATTCCTAGGACGTTGACGAACTCGTCGTTGAAGTTTTGCAGGAGGTTATAATAATGTGTATTAATCCTTTCTTAATGTGTACTGGATAGGCGGAGTTTATATGAATAGATAAGTGTTGGAGTAATGTGAGTAGGCTTTGCCATGATTCATATGCGCATCCATAAGCTATCGCTTGGACGACCAATATCTGTAAGCCCTGCCCCCAGAGCAACCCGCACTATTTCCAAATGTGTGGTGTCGAACCAAAAGATTTCCTACATTTACAGCCCTAGTTAATTGCCTCATTACCCAGAGGCTTGGGTATAATCTGTTAAATTCAGAGGACCATGACCGTTCATCTCCGACGCCTCCTAGGTACAAGTGGCAGGTCAAAACCATTCGTCTAACATGCGGTTTTACCTCAGGTTGGCGAAGTACGGTTATTTTAATAGGCATTCCCCGACGCTGTCCTCTTAAAAACGCTTTGAATAATTCCATCGGCTGTGTAATTATTATGCATTTGACCGTCTAGAAGTAGTACTGCAATGGATCAAAACTTTCTTTACCGTTCATGGTTGCGCAACTAGTATGAAAGTGACATATATTTTGTTGCCTGTAGTCATTCAAAATAGTACTATACATCGCAACCAAGACATCGCACCATGATGCAATATTCCTTCCTGTTACCCGGAGGATTTTCTATGCACCCCCAACTTCTTGTATTGTAACCGTGCCAAGGTTGTGGCTTTGCCACATGCCACAGTTGCTTTCGCAACCTGAGCAGAATCTCTCGTTATGCTGCCGGGCACTCACTTCCTGAGGGTGGGCTGTGGTTCTGCCGTTATGACAACCTTGGCACGGTTAGGTTAAGGTCGCACGACCAACCTAACATCTAACGCAACCACCGACCACGCTAGCCCTCTCCCCACCCACAACCTCACTATATCTTTCCCGGAGATAACAATGGGGATCCCCATATACAAGATATCATTTAGGATTGTTTATGTATTATATTGTTAAATACCTCCAGCTGCGGTTGTGGTAGTCAAGTACTGCGAAAGGAGTACGCCACGTTGCCTCGTGATGTTCGTTCAATTATGCAAACGAGCAATAGATTCTGAAGGGCATTGGAGAGGGTAGTGAGTGGGTATGGTTTTTGTGTGAAATAGGAATCCGGCGAAACCTTTCCCTGACCCAAGATAGAATTGTAGATATGTACAAGAGAAAACTCGGGACTTTCAGATAGATCAAGAAGAAACATAAGATAATTTTAACGAGAACAAAAAGACCCGCATGCAAAACATCCAAGCTTTAGCTATGCTCAAGACTCTCAACAGCATCACACATGCAGTATCGCCTGTATTTCCGCTCTCGCTGCTCGACAGGATGTATGATATTATTTTTCTCACCTCCCACCGAACCCAAAAACCCAGCAAGAATTAGCCGCAATAGCTGTCCCAAGCGCTGGAACTTCATGGAAGGTTTTCTTAACCCCCTACCAACTGACAATAGGTATCAAAAACCTAGTTCCAGGGATCCTGAATAAACATGCCGCTTTTTGTCTAGTATATACATAGTAAGTGCAGCAGGTGGAGAGTAGTGACCCTCACAATTTGTCGAGTTAAGCCAAAAACCACCTAGTTGTAATGAGCTAAACAATTATGGTTGTAAGTGTGGAAACTGTTTTAATTGGATATAATATCATACATTCAGAAATGCCGCTACTTTCTTTGAGGGTAAGGTTTATAGAAGGAGGTTGCCTAAATGGTAACCTGTCGCCGCCCACATGAATCGTAGCAATCATTTCCCACACTACTCCAATATTTGTCTAATCATATAAACTCAGTCCATCCAATACACATTAAGTAAGGATTAATACACATTACTATTAACTCCTGCAAAGCTTCAACGGCGATTTCGTCAACACTCTAGGAATAATAACTCAGCATTGTGAATCTAGTTCTAGAAATGTGGAATGAACATACCTCTCCATTACCGCTTCGTCCCACCAGCCTTCTTGTTTTTAAGAACACTGTTGACTATTTTCTCAACCTCCTACCAACAATGAATTAGTATTCCGAACAAAGATCTAGGCATCAAGAAGGAACATACTTCAATGTCGTTGGTCGGAACCCTGGTAATGCAGACACCAAAGCGGTTTGATATCTCCCCTACCTCGTTCAGGGTCTGCTTGCCATGAGCGAACGTGATCGCCACACCCACACGTCCGAATCGCCCCGTGCGTCCGATGCGATGAAGATACGTTTTCGCGTCCAAGCGACGGTTCTTGCCACGAGGGAGGTAATAATTGACCACCATCGAGACAGTTGAGACATCGAAGCCACGCACCAACACATCGGTAGTAATCAGGACTTTTGCTTTTCCAGAACGGGAGGTATTGAAAACCTTGTCCCGATCCGGGCCATCTTCTGCACTATGGAGGGATGCAACCTTGTGCCCATCCGCCTCCATTCGTCTCTGAATCTGATACGCTGTTTCGCGATTCTACCCCAACAGATCAGCTTTCACAACTACCAAATATGGCTATCCTTGGTTCCCTTACCTGGAGCAATATTACTGAAGACCTAATCGTCAAAATATGATAGAGGTCAATCAATATTCGATATTTGTCCTCTTTGCTGTCACTGTCCATACATGGCTGCTAGATCCCGTCCAGGGTAAGCTCTTCATGGTTTAATGAGACCTGATTCGCATTTTGTGCAAATCGGTTCGCGTATTTAACAACCTGGTGAGGAAAGGTTGCCGAGATTAAGGCGATCTGGGTGTTCGGGGGCGTATTCCTAGATGAAGAAGATATTAGCCCTTCATGAGTAACCAGTTGTTATAATCCATCAAGAGTGGGATCAAACTGTTTCACGCGGAGACACTGTTCTCCAAGTCCTTGTAGATCAAGCATATTACCCGCCTCATCGAGAACAAGAATCTTAAGATGTTCTACAGCCAATTCCTTGCAGCGGATCAAGTCAAGGACCGTGCCAGGTGTCCCAACAACAATATGTGCATCCATTCTCTGACCACGTCGGACCATATTCGGGATCGCCAACTGTGTTTTGATGTTGATAAATTGACCCATCTTTTGAACGGCGCCCGGAATTTGCCCGGCGAGTTCGCGAGTTGGGGCCAAACAGAGAGCTTGAACATCTCTAACCGACATGTCAACACGAGTCAACATTGTCAAAGCGAAGGCCGCGGTTTTCCCGGTCCCAGATTGTAATTGAGCAATCAAATTTTTGCGGGGGTCCGATAAGAGGAGCGGAAGTGCTCGCTCTTGGATCTTTGACGGCCTCTTAAAGTTCATGAAACAAATTCCCTCAAGAAGCTCCTTAGAACTGTAATGTAATAACGCAAGTTGTCAGCACGGCACGGGAACATAAATATGACCAGTAGCCCGGAGCAAGTAAACACGAATGGATTCCAAAGTGCGAACACCGCGCCAAATCATTGAGGGATCAAACATATTTATACTTACAGTCCTAGGTCTTCGAATGTTTTCACGGAATAGAAGGGACTATTATGACCCCTGTATATCGGCAAACTTCACAGCCACTTCATATTGGGGCTCATCGATACCCGAAATCCCCGCCGTAGCCGGTGGTGCAGAGGTAGATGGTATATGGGTAGTAATAGCAGTACCAACCGGGGTTTGAGATTTTTTCCCCACGCGGGACTTGAGAGAAACACAGTATTCCGCCATTATTGATGACAAGGTCAAGAAACCAAATCACCGGTCCATTGAAGGAAAGGGAGAAGACTCAAAAAGTCAAATAAGGAGTCACGAAGGAGAGAAAAGTACAGAGATGAATAAAGATATCTGAATATTGAATTGATCCGATGGGCTTTAGGTTCGGTGAAAGTTGAAGCAAACAAACTTGGTGGAATGGCTCATTAAATAGGCCTGTCCTGGCTTGGCCAGACGAGGGTATCCGCTCATATTTTGAGGAACGGTGTTCACGATTGGTCTGAAATCTTGGACCGCTATCCCCAATTGAGTGTTGACCTATCCGAATTTGAACACCGATAATGTTATCTCGTCATTATGACCTTGTCTCCGCGAGCAAAGAATGGAATCTTCCCTTTGGCAAAAACTCCACAATACGATATGTATTATGAGTGAGCCCCATATGTAACGTTCTCTACCGCCTAAGAAAAGTGAAGCCTCAAATCGTCTGTTGCTCGAAAGAAAACGCCTATGCAGCCCCAGCGCCCGCTCTTCTTCAGAATCGCTCAACCGGGTAACCCTTGGTGATGCGGAAATGATTTTTGTACTCCTTCTTTGAAAATATATTATTATGAAACCGTGCAATATACAGCCATATCCATAATTTTCACATCCCTTTCCTCGTGCCTCAAGTGAGGTGCCTGGTAGTGGCAGCAGAATTGCGATGTCCTCTTAGGTAAATGCCGTCCAATATACCCCCGAGAATATCGTAAACGTTTGTAACAAATTTGTCTTGCCGAACTCCGCGAAGAATGGCCTACCAAAGTCTTTCCACGGGCGAGTATAATATCACTTGCGATCGTATATGGTAACACTGTAGACATGGATTGAGAGAGGCTAATACAGTGACCCTCCATCCTACCAGGATAACCCGCCGGGTTCCGAGCATCCACTTCGCGTACTTTTTCTTCACTATTTTTCCTAAGCCACATTAAACGCAACAACCGTACGTACAATATTACATAGATATACTCCGGAGGGAGGGACTCGGTGCCAACCTCAGCGATGATCCGTGTTCATTGGCAAAGGCCGTGAGGTTAATTACAGACTTGATAGAGCCTTGGTTTATATGCTTTACAGCCTTTCAGAGCTACCACAAAATTCTTCCAGTATCGGTATAAGTATAAGATCGCGCCGTATGATTTCATGGGAATTGGTAATCTTTGTAGGATTGGGCGAATATATTAGCCATATTAGGTGCCTAACATCCCTCTTTTCCTGCGTTTGAAAGTCGGCGCCCAATCACTGCGCTCGAGTTTCTCTCTGTAAACACAAGATGCTAGCCCGTCCGGTTTTGCCTATTGCGGGGCTGACCCAAGCTATCCCCGGGACTGCATGGCTGAATTACGGGAAAGAATGTTTTCATAATAAAACCCGCCCGGCCCGGGCACCTAGCCGCTTTACCTAGGTACCTAACGGCTTCACTTGGAGATCTACGAGTTTTACCAAGAAATCTGGCAACTTTGGCATAGGTTGCAGGATTCAAATGGAAGGTTTCCTGGGCACCGCGGCCTTTGCCGACTGTGAATATGCTCGACCGGACTCACCCACGCTTTTCAAAGCTGTGGGGGGACTGGCCGGACCACTGACCAGTGATTCGGGAAATGGCCAAGCCAGGCCGTTTGGGATCACTGGCTTCTCATAGCTTAATTGGCTTTCATATCCGGCGGCACGAAGTTCCCTTCAACAACCCCCCCCAACCAACTAAACATAGATAGATTCGTATCAAGCAGGAATGGCGCGCCCTACAACTACAACATACAGGAGAGGCCCCGCCGCAATTATTCAAGCACTCAGTATATCCAGCGGAACCATTCTTTCTGATACCTCCGTGCCTCTGTAGACAGTCCTATAATATCAGAAACTGAAATGCGATGGTAACTCGAAAAACTTCCATCCTTTTTTTCAAAACAAACCCCCACGCCCACTCCAACTCCGAGGACAGCGATACCGAGAAATAACCACATATCGAGACCCCCCCCTTCGACCGGGTGAAATTATTCACATGTTCCTCTGCTCTCTCTCTAAACTACCGAACACGATAGTCCCGACTACTTCTGACTATTGAATAATACAGAACATTTCAAATTAAACAAGGAGTAGCCGACCCGGTTACAGTGAAACCTCAACTAACTCCACACTCCTATATACCCGGGACCCAATATTTCTATCCTTTGTCGGGGGACAGGTTTTGTTTTATAAGCTTCCCCCCTCTAAGTTCTAGTGTTCTATTAGTTCCTCTCTCTAAGCTGTAAATACCCCTAAATCCCGGGACTAGTTTGCGTGAAATGGTTTAGCACATTATTTCACCCCAGAAGAGTGTCTGACAGGTTATCGGAAGACAAATTGCTTGATGGATGGTAGAAAAGAACATCATTCAACCTTTCTGCCCTTACCACGGACTCTTACAGTAAAAGAAAAAAAACCCCACCTCGATCAACATAAGGCGTAGTTGAACGGGTTTGTATTTTAGGATAGAACCGAATCCCTAAGCCCGGGGGAAATACATTGTTCCACATGAACCAGTTGGAAGAGAAGGGGCGCTCTACTCTTGAATTATCACCCCTTCTTT